GAGCAGAGTGGGCGAAACACTCGAAGCTGCGACGGCATGGGCACCTCTCAAGGTTAGGTGAACAAATTTCTCGCGTTCCACGGGGTTTTCGGTGGTTTCCCCCGGGATTTTCACGTCCTTTTTCGCGCGATATCGCCTTAAAACCTCCACAGGGACGGCCCTGTGGGATGAGAAATTCTCCACACGCGATCAGCCGTGGTTTTCGGATAAACCGGGGCTGAGAAAACACTCGCGAACACCTCAACGGAGGGAAACGCTGTTCGATCCGTTGATCGAACAGGATCGATTTACACTCGCGAACCGAATTAATTATACGGCCTCCAGTAACCGGTGTTACTGGGATAAATTTAAAGAAATTTCCTCACCTTTCCACGCGGTTTCCGGGTGGCGTGTGATCCTCCCATTGTCTTCTTCTCCTCTCTGCTCTCTGGGGAAAAACTCGTCCTTTTGCTCTCACGTCCGGGCGATAACTGCCAAAAAGATGGCGGAACTGATGCCTCACCGGGACGTTAGTTCCGGTGGATCGAGCGTGATGGCACTAATTGTCCTGGCGCGCTAAGATCTCCCCATTCAAATTTGAATGGGGGAATTAATTCTCATTAATTTTCGCTAATACCCTAATTATCGCGGCTAGTCTTTCCCGGTTGTTTTCCCCGGGGATCCGTGGACTTACTAACCTTAACTAAACTTAACTAGTACGGCAATTCGGGGAGGTGTCAGTGGTAACACCCCCGCCGACCTTCGAACCCTAACACGTAAAATAAAATTCCTCACGAATCCCTCTTTTAGAGGTGCACTCGCAGCCAGACGGTTCATCCCGGGAAGATTTCGCAAACGGAATAACCCCTAATAATTTACGTCGGACAATAATACTAATTATCCCTCTTCGCGGCGCAATTCAGGACCGACACGATTTTCCACTAATTAACTGGTCCTATAATCCTTATCTAACCCTAAACTTCCCCTAAACGAATCCCTAATCTCCTGCTGATTCAGTAGGGAATACCCCCTTGCTATTTTTCCCACCGTAAATTCCCCTGATTCGCTAATCTCCTGCTACCTCCGGAATTAGCAGGGAAGACTCTAAATTTCTAACCGTCTCTGCGTAGTCTCCGGGCTGTCCGGGATAATCGCGAGACCGTAATTTTATATTATTTTAGTATCAGTTATTTATTTTTATTTTTCCCCACGGTGTGGGATTCGCGGGTTGGGCGCGGCTCTCTCTCTCTCAAAAAAAACGATGCACGTGACACCCTATTTCGTCGGAATCTATCCTCCACCATACTTAATATTTAAGTGATAATAATAACAATGCACCACCTTCCCCTACTCCATTTTTCTTTTTCTTTTTCTTTTTTCTCCTTTCTCTGTTCTCCCTCTCCTCTTCCTATCATTACTTTTCTTTTCTTTTCCTCCTACAACACCCTGGATAAATAAAGAGATGCCCTTTTTTTCACAATAGTCCAAAATAAAAGTAAAATCTTTTATTCAACCCTCCTTTTTTTGGGCTTACACGGTTAAAATATCAAAAATGTAAAAATTTTTTTCTAAAATATTTTCTTGAAATAAAAATAATATTAACATATTAAAATAAAATATTAATACGAGAGCCTTACATGGCCAAAGTTAAAAAATCAAATACAATCGTTTACATAGTTTATTAAAACGAGGTTTAATAATGACAACTGTAAATAGAGATGTGTTATATAAATAAAAATCATGTTAAAAAAAAACCTCGTTGGATCGATGTAGGCCACCATATTGGCCGAATATCCAACAACCGAGTATTGGCGAACGATGCTGGCCAATGTACTGGCCACGCATCCGAAAACCGAATGTTGGCAAACAGATGCTGGCCAATACATTAGCCAAGTCTGCAGGCTCGGATTCCTAGACGCGTATAAGTTTTCGAGCTGCTTGCTTTTTCGACAAGGAAAAATGAGCTGGTGCACCTTTTTAGTTTCCATTCTTTTGTGTCGGCGAGGAGGTAACAGAGAGGAAGGGCGAAGCTGATGGGTATTTTTCGGTCGAGTTGAAACTGTTACATCACAAGAGAAACCAATATTGTGATATGGTAGTACGTGACATAGGTGACAGTCAAGAGATGCAATGTCTGGAGATTTTGCCGCATGTGGGAGGAATACCCAGCCCAGCGTGGAGATAACTTTCAGGGTGTCTTCTGCTGTGTGTGGCCACGCATTGTTCTACAGCGAAATCACTTGCCTCATACCACTATCAGTAAAACGTCCCTCTTTCTCAATGGCATTACCCAATTTCCCCACTTGGTCTCGATAACACTTAGCAATGGCGCTTTCCCCCTGTTTCCGTATTGTCTAATAGATTACACATTTGGAATCCAACCAAAGACCGAACAAGCATTTTTTCCCGTGAAGGGTTATGGGATTTTCATTGACAAGGTTGTCCAACTCCTAGTCGTCAACTTTGTTTAGTTGCCCAGGACGTCTTTCATCCTAGAGATCAAAGTTTTCGATCCGAAATTGTTCAAACCATATTTTACATGTATTATAAAGTACAGCACTCTCTCCCAAGGCCGCACAGGTCATTTTCCGTGCATCTTCACCGATTTTTCCAAGTTCCAAGGGGAAAAAAAGAGAGTGCCCAGGAGTTGCTTGTCGAACAACATTTTTATTCAATATGTTCTTTTTTGAGGTTTTGCTAATGAATTCAGAATCGTACTTAAGTGATTTGATAGCTCATACATGGCACGTTAAAACGCTCTTTAGTGTTGAGAATTTTTCAAATTAAAGTTGGCGTTCTAATCAATTTAATCTAGAGTGCGAGAACGAGATACATGTAATATATGAACGTATTGCCTTTTCAAACTGAATAAGTCTATCGAACGCTTACACTGAATTTATAGTTAGTAGACAGGATCGCGATGAATTCTTTCCTGTTGCAATGATAACAGAATTGCTCATTGGATAAGGAAGTTTTTGTGTAGATTATTTAGAACGGACTCTCATATATATACATATATATATATATATATATATACAGGGTGTCCGAGATAAAATTGTGCACCCAAATAACTATTGAATGTGGGTAGTAATCGAAAAATCTTTCAAATAGAAGTTGTAGGGCTCCAAGTGGGAAAAATAATGAGATATGTTTTGAGCATTTAAGTCTTCATGTTTTTATGCTACAAGCATAAGTTCAT